CCCCAAAACCCCAAAACCCCAAAACCCCAAAACCCCAAAACCCCAAAACCCCTTACTCTAATTATAATATTGATAATGAAGATGAGGAAGGGAAGGGTCACCTTCACCCAGCCGCTCAGGATCAGTAAGCTCTTTGTTCTGATTGGGCTTGGGCAGTGGAATAGGGGTGTTGGGGTTGGCCGGTTAGAGATTTAAGGGGGTTAAAAGATAAGTTTGGGATTTTGGGGGGTTTAGAGGGGGTTTAAGGGACGCTTTGGGCTGGTTAGGGGGAGAAGAGGGAGAGATTGGAGAATAAGGGATCTGAGGGTGGATTTGGGGGTTTTGGGGATATTTGGGGGCGTTGGGGATAATATGTGGGCTGGTATTAGATATAGTAGAGTTTTAGTATAGATCATATTGTTTATAAAGTATTATCCTTAGGGTTCGAGAATGATAATCATGTTTTTATATATACTTCTTTAGAGAAAGAAGCAATCCGGGCATATTCAAAACTAAAGTTAGTTAAAATATTCGACTTGATGCTATGCCACATCAAAACTCTCCCTCCCTGAACTGAAGTCCATGACAGTCACTCAATCCAAGTAAACTTCCTTCTAAATTCAGGAGCACGACATGACCTTAGCCACAACCTTACAACAGAAGAAGCTCATTCGTAAAACCAGGAAACAAGCTGCTACATCTAAATACTATAATAACTCTTCAATGGCAGATATAAGTGAGATTACAAGAGAAGAACCCTGAAGAAGTAATGCAGAATGGGATAAGAGTAGTAAGGACTTCACTACTCCTGTGAAGACACGGGAAAGAACAGTAAGTGGTATAATTACTTAAGAAGAAGCGAAATGGTGAGGGGTACAGAGTCTGAAGTTTTTTATTTAAATTCTGAATATTTTATGAGCTTGCTTTTTTGGTATTTCGTGTGTATGGATTGTTATTCCTCATTTCCTTTGAGATAAATCTAGCTTAAGTCTTTATATATTGAAATATAGGGTTTAAACATTCTCTTTGGAAAGTTTTATACTAAAAATTAAGTAATTTTATGGGTGTCTTTTATATGTCATCTCTTATCCCATTATTCCTAACGATTCTATAAAGCAGGCTCATTCTAATGTGTCGCTTCAGCACAAAAATTCGTGCAAATAAATACACAGAAAATTGACACAGCAATTTTAATCGGTTATTCTTAGCCCAAAACATTAGTGTAGAGGATTTGTTAAATGAATTGTGTAAGAATATATAAGGGATCCAAAAGCAACCGCGATGAGTATGTGATCTAATACCTATACTTATTAAGACAAAACAGGGTAGCCAGATATGTAGAATCTAAGCCCCTCAATTATTCTCCCCATGCTCTTTCTTATTCATTTCTACCTTCTCTCCAAATCTTTCCAGGCCTAGCCCACAACCCTTCTTCTATAACTCCAAGCTCTCCTAGACCCACTTCCCAAAATTTAGCCTGTATTCTTAAATTTTTAGAAGTACATAACGAATGCTATGTTCAAGGTTGTCCAAAAGTAAGTGAACGTGTGAGCGTAGGCCGAATAGGAAAGTATCCATGCCTGTGAAGGGCGCTGAGGCCAAGACCCAGGATGTGTTGGTCAAGAAGGTACCTTTGAGACATAGTGCAACAAGGAAGATCTTGCCTAAGTCTAGGTCTGGGAGTATAAATGCTACTCCTTCATATAAACACCGTATTCGTCATTCAAAGGTAGATTTTTTTCAAAATCAAAGAGAATAACTTTATATCTAGATTAATCAATATATCACTTCAGTTAAATAAAGCGAGGAGAAAGACTATCTCTAGTAAAATTACTGCAGAAGGAGACTCGACAAAAAGTAAGAGATTTCTAGATCCCTCAATAAACAGTTTATGTAACACTCACCAATATATGCTAATGAAGTTAATTGAAAGCAGCCCTAATAATTTTGGGTTAAAGGGAGGCTTTCTACTCTCTAGCAATATTTCCATATATCTCAGATCTAATCTTTGCTGCTTTAGGCTCAAGCAAAAATTTCGCATATAAAGCATTAACAGTAAAATATATGAAAGGGAAATTTGAGACAATGAAGAAAGTTAATAAATTCAGAGGAGTAACCAAAACTAGGAAGTATTGTATAAGAATAATTGTTTAGCACAATGGCCATGAGGAAGACATCAAGTAATTGGTCTATAAAGTCAACACAGCCTCCTTCCGAAAGCAACCGGTTTAGAAGGTAAGATACCTTCACAGTACAAATTCTGGTGAAGCGTCATTTCTTGGATTTTATCATAATAGAAATTTAGGAAATTTAAGTTATTTCTTACCTAGATATGAATGATTTTTCTAAAAGTTAATTTTAGGCCAAACTCCTCGACCAACACTAGGATCCTTAAAAGAAGTCCCTCGCTTCACAGAAATTCCTCTTATAAAATGTGTAAAGAGAAGACAAGAGAGAACATGATCAGGATATATGTAAATAAAGACAATTGGGTGACTTAGGTTGAAGAATATCGGCATTTTTAAACACTCGATTATATTTGAATCTCTTAAACCTTCGATTTGTATTTCAATCTCAGCTGGAGGGATAGGGGTTTTGGGGTTTTGGGGTTTTGGGGG